TACAGTTATCCTAAGCTCCCAGGTGATGCCACACTGCTGGTCCACAGATCACAACTGGAGCAGCTTTTCTATTTCTGTAGTTTTAAATATTTCCCATTTTTTTAAAAAAAGTTTAAACATTTTCTCCATTTATCATAAACAAATTCTCATTTTAAAATACTGAACTGCACCGTCTATAACCCAATCAGTCATTAATATCTTAAATAAGCAACTTACTTAAGCAGAGCAAAAGGGGAAACCTCACATTAATGTTTGCCCACACATTATCTTATAACTATATACAGAAAAGTAGTGTCTTTGAAAGTCATATATCATTCTGATCTTCAATCATATATACATTCCTGAAGAAAATCATCATTCAAGGTAACTTTAACACTAAAAAAAAGTCTACCAGGATTTGAAAAATTTGGTTGCAAATATCACCACAAATCCACACACCTGCAAATTGATGCTTTGAAATCTTCCAGCATTATGTTTAAAAAGCCTAACTTCAGTTAGATAAAACTTTGTGTTGAGCTTTAACTGTTATACAGGTGCATCCTGGCCCACATTTCTTAGTAAATAAATTTCAAGACTGTCTAACACTGCCAAAGAGACATATTTTCCTGTGCATTCTTCTTCCCTGCAGTTAACAGTTATAGAGAGCTCTTTAAACAGAAAGAACACTTAAAATAATTTTTTTTAAAAAAAAGCTAACTGTACCAACCTCAAATGCCAAATGATATCTGAATTCTATTCCATTTAATACATTTTCAAAAAGGAAATTCTGAAACAAAAATACATTTTAGAATTCTAGCCAATAAAAAGCCAAAATTTACTTTTAAAAAAACTACTTACAATGAATATCAACTTTAAAAACATAGAGTATTTCTCATCTAATTATATTAGGGGCCAGGTGTAGTGGCTCATGCCTGTAATCCCCAGTGCTTTGGGAGTCTGAGGCAGGCAGATCACCTGGGGTCAGGAGTTCAAGACCAGCCTGGCCAACATTATGAAACCCCATCTCTGCTAAAAATATAAAAATTAGCCAGATGCAGTGGCACACGCCTGTCGGGAGTCTGAGGCAGGAGGACTGCTTGAACCCGGGAGGCGGAGGTCGCAGTGAGCCAAGGTCATGCCACTATACTCCAGCCTGGGCGACAGTACAAGACTCTGGCTCAAAAAAAGAGAAAAAAGTTACTCTATATTAATATTCACAGTTATGGAAACTTTGGTTTATTTTCAAGAAAATCCCTCTACCTCTAAAGCTCACCTTCTCAGCCTTTTAACTAGGCACAATCTCCCTTCTTTGCCTTATAATAAAAGCTTCTCAGGAAGGGGGTGGGAACTGAGTGTTAATGATAGCAGAGCAGAGCAGAGCAGAGCACTAGTAAGAAAGAAAATGAGGGCAAAACAGAAGGTCTCTCGCCTGATAAAATCCAAAGCAGTTGTAAAAACTAGGTAACTTGATAATCGCACTTTTCAGAAGCAAACAAAACCTGTATGGCAGAATTAACAACTCAGCATAATTAAAGAAATATGCTTTGCAATTATTTGTGTACTCATTATAAGAATCCTTAAATTTGATTTCACAAGTTTTTCTACCTGTAGTATCAAATTGGACTTATTACTCCTCCTCACTTTAGATATGGCAGAAAAACATATAAAATATTGAGACAGGCATATACTAGCACATGATATATCTCCACATCCAACAAGAGGATTTACTCTCAAGACTCTTATGTCCTATTTTACGAGTAGTTTGGTTCCTGTGATTCCTTTAGATATCTCTACCTACTTACCATTTCATTGCAACTACGAATAAGAAAATGTGAGGCCGGGTATGGTGGCTCACACCTCTAATCCAAGCACATTGGGAGGCTAAGTTGGGAGGACTGCTTGAACCCATGAGTTTCAGACTGGCAAAGGCAATTATAGTAAGACCTCATCTCTACAAAAAATTTTAAAATTAGCTGAGCACGGTGACGTCCACACCTGTCAGAGGCTGAGGCGGGAGAATCATTTGAGCCCAGGAGGCGGAGGCAGAGGCTGCAGTGAGCCGAGACTGCACAACTAAACCCCAGCCTAGGAGACAGAGTGAGGCCCTGTCAAAAAAAAAAAAAAAGAAAAAGAAAAAGAAAATTGTGGGTGGGCAATATGACTCTTCCATTTACTTAACTATAGTCAGTAGTCAGTATACCAAACCTGAGATTCAAAAGTCTTTTAATTAAACCTCGACTCTGGTGATTCTAGCAAAACTTAACTGTTTAAAGTTTAGGATCCACTTCATAATTAAGATGAAACTTCAATATCAGTTCAATCCTTAGAGTTGAGGCAATCACATGAGATCTAATTAATGCAGAGATAGCATCAACTCAGGTTTTATAGCTCCTAGACCAACACTTGTTAAATTATGCTTCCTTCCATAACTGTTCCTTATTTTATTCTCTATGATGGTCTTGTTTACCTAAACAGTACCTAGGAAAGCTGATAAACTAACGTATACCTAGCAAGGTCAGAAAACTCCAAGTGTCAGGCTGGCGCAGAGGCTCACATCTGTAATCCCAAAACTTTGGGAGGCCGAGGCAGGTGGATCACTTGAGTTTGAGACCAGCCTGGCCAACGCGGCGAAACCCCATCTCTACAAAAAAATACAAAAATTAGCTGTGGGTAGTGGCCAGCGACTGTAAACCCAGCTACTCCAGAGGCTGAGGTAGGAGAATCACTTGAACCTGGGAGGTGGAGGTTGCAGTGAGCCGAGATCACATCACTGCACTCCAGCCTGGGTGACAGAGCAAGACTGTCTTAACACAAAAAAATTAGCTGGGCGTGGTGATATGTACCTGTAATCCCAGCTACTCGGGAGGCTGAGGCAGGGGAATTGATTAAACCAGGGAGATGGAGGTTGCAGTGAGCCAAGACTGAGCCGCTGCACTCCAGCCTGAGCGACAGAGAGAGACTCTTGTCTCAAAAAAGTAAAAGAAAAAGAAAATTCCAAATTTCAGATTAAATATAAGTACTACCACTTAGTTTTCTATCAGACATCTTTTCTTAACCTTCCTAATTGCCAAACTTTCCTGTTTCTTGTCCACCGCCATTTTTCCATCACTGTAATTAGTTTTTTTGCCATATAGTATCCTGTTACACAAAACATGCTGATTATAAGCAAATATATTCACTCCTCATTATATCAGAAAATATTTTAAGCACTTTACATGAAGCATCTCAATCCTCAATTTTTTTTTTTTAATTTTATTTTTTATAAATTAGAGACAAGGTCTCATTATGTGGTCTAAGTTGCTCTCCAACTCCTGAGGTCAAGTGATACTCCTGCCTCAGCCTCTCAAAGTGCTGAGATTACAAACATGATCCACCAAGCTCAGCCATGAATTTTAAATAAGATAAACAATAGTGTAATCCCTTCTGCATGGGGCAAAAATCAGAACATCAGAGATTAAGTAATTTGCCCTAATTCACACAACTAATAAGAGGTAGAACTGGGATAAGTAAACAGACAGTCTGACTCCAATGCCCACATTCCTAATTTCTATATGCGATAAGTGCATGTAACTACATGGATTGTAAATTAATGTACAGATAACTCAAAATGTGGGAGCTACAGAATTTAAAGAATCTTCTTTACAAACACCTGACCCAAGCAAGAACTCTTAACTCCTTCCCAGATAATTAAAACTCCAATGTGAAAATAAAACAGGGCCGCAGTACTATTTCAACAAATGTCTGGCTCAGCACTACCTAAAACTTTCTGCAGTGATAGAATATTTTCTGTGGGCTGTCCAATATGGAAGCCACTAGCCATATGTGAGTATTCAGCACCTGAAATGTATCTAGTATGACTAAGTGAATTTTGAATATTTTGTAAACGAAGTTTAACTAGCCACATGTGGCTAGTGGTAACCACACTTGACAGTACAGGTATAGAAGACAAAATGCAGGAAAAAGATGAGTGAAAAAATTCTTACTGCCTTCATTTAGAAATTTCACTAACACTCAAAATAATTTAAATCTCGCTTTTACATGCTTCAGCTTAAATTATTAGCTAAAATATAAACTTCCAAATAGATTTAAGACCTACTGTGTATCTGAATTAAAAAAATTAAATTTGTATTACGAAAAAAGCCTTGTATATTAGAATTCTTTTAGTATTGAATAGCTAAGAGGAAAACCTGAAAACTCTGCTACCAATGAGGAAAACTAAACAATAATAATAAAAATTAAAAAATCAAGTTTTCAATTCTCTTCAGAGAAAACAACTGAGAATAAAGTGCTTACCTTGATTCTCCACTACTGTTTCTAACACTTTCTTCATCACTCTGTCCATTCATTGTAAATTATCAAGAAGTTTTAAAGTAAAATACAAATCTTCCCAGTTTAAAAGATGAATATAAATACTAACTCCTCCTTGAATATAAAAATTCACAGATGAATTTTCTTCAACATTCACAGGTTTCCTGGGACTCTCCTTTGATTCACCTAAAGAAAATACATTAACAAATTAAGAAAACTTCCTGCAGAAAAAAGGTAAATATACCTGTTTAAAACGTACAAATCTACACAGGCCAATTAGATTAGAAGTGGTACGGAAAAAGTGGGGGCCTTTTATTAAATACTTAAAATATCTAGCTATGTAGTAATTACACTCTAGACCTGACTACTAACTAGAATTTAGTATGCTACTGCTAATATACTTCGGACAGAAGAAATTAAAATATTTGTGGAGTGATAAGACTTTTAGAGACTAATTGCCACTGTCTAACAATGTGTATATATATATATATAGACTACTAAAGCAAGGTGGTAACCCATACATACATCCCAAGAGTAGATAACTGAGTCTTATTAGATAACTTGGTCAAATAAATGAAAGGAGGGAAAAGATTACTTTTGATAAAACCCTCATTCCTATCACCAAGAACTTCATATACCTGACTGAGAAAGTTTTGAAAATGCTCCCATGGGAGGAACAGGCAAGTAAAAGGTATCACATCATCTCAACAAAAATGCGTAAGTCCAAATAAATATGTTCTTTCACAGGTAAACGGAGAGAGGGATAAAATTTTAAAAATACTTATCCAGTTTTTCACTTGCTTTTTATTCTGCGGGAAAAAAAAAGTAATAGAATATACAGTATATCTGATTTCTTCAGTAAAAGATTTGGGGCAAGAATAATTATCCAAGGCACATCATTTCCACCTTTCAAGACTTTAGTACAACACTGGAGAATCACCTACAAGCCATCCACGAATAAACAAAGGAGATCTCTGGCAGGGGAGGGAGAGGAAGAAGCGGGGGAAGGAGACGTCAGATCCTTCCCCAGCCAGAAAGTACCGAGACTGCCATCTGAGAGCAGAGCTGTCCTCCGACCTCAGCAAAGAGAATTCACTCCTACGATTATTTCCATTCCACAAAAGGAGGAGGGAAACAGACTGTTACCAACTCAATCATAGCAAAGTCTGCATCTAGATCAGGATGCTAATTCTCTAGACTACAGTCCAGTAGACTCTGCAAGAATAGGTTATCTAAAAAGTAATCATTCTACTCAACACATTTATTCCTAATGTTAAATATTAATCTCAACCCTAGTCAAAGAACCTTACTGAACAATTAAGTCTTAAAAATCTAAGTACGCTAACAAACTGCCTTTCCCGTTTCTTCGTTTAAAAAGTTCACTCCCTTTTTTGTTCCTTTTCACCGTCTTTTCGTCCCTCAAAATGGCTTTCTCTGAACATTTTAACTTCCTTCCCCCCTCCATCTCCCTTATCCGAGTAAGTCCTGTCTGAGACCCTTTTCACAACCCTAGTTCTGAAGCTCCAAGTGCACAACAGCTCCTCGTCCTCTCAAGCATCTCAACAATGACTACCCTAAGTTATTAAACCTCTTCAATCCTGTCTTTTAGCAGTTGCTCTGCTCCTGATAAGTTTTTAAAGCGGTACTCTAAAGAGGTTTGGAAACCATCCTCCTCGCTCATCCATCCAAATCGCTCCAATCAGCCTCCCTCGCGGACCTGCCCCCCTCTCCCAGGGCCTCCTTCCCGGTCCGGGAGTCCCTCTTCCCGCCTCAAACTTCCCGCAGACCCGCCCCGCGCCCTCCCAGGCTCGCTGGAGCCGCCGCCCCCTCCCCTCCCCCTCCCCGCCGCTCCCCACGTGCTGGGAGCCCGGGTCGCCGCAGGACCGACGCACGGGATAAGTGCTCGCCATTCGAGGGTCTCCTCTCGCTGCCCGGTCGGCACCAAGCTCAAGAGGCCCTGGCAGGGCCGCCAGGCCAGCGCGAGGATGCGCTCTGCGGCCGCTGGCCTGTGCTCGCCGCTCACACGCCCCCTGCGCGCCGGGCCCGTACACCGCCACCGGCCCTCACAGAGCCGTCCGGCCTTCGCCCGGACGCTGGGCCGCCGCCCGGGCACCGCGCCGCGCCCGCCCTCCACCCGGCCACCTCCTGTCCTCCCCGCCGCCCCCTTTCTTACCGGCAGGCTTGGCTGGGCGGAGGAAGCCGACTCGGGTCGACGGCCTCCCCCGCGCCCAGGATCTCCGCCGCCGAGTCCTAGGGCTCCGGGCGTCTTGGGGTAAGCAAGAGTCCGTGCGAGGGAGGGGGAAGGGGAAAGACGCGGAGGGGAAGGGGAAGCCCCTGCCCGCGGCACCAACGCGCAATCCCCTGCGAAGTGGATCCAACAATCAATTCATTATTGAAGCACCAAGGGCGAGCGCAGCAAGAACTAGAAGTAACGAGTCGTCGCCGCCGCCGCCACCGTCGTCGCGCGCGCGCTCCCGCTCCCGCCGCTTATCTGCCCCCGGCAGCCGCCATGACGCCGAGAGAGCGAGCGAGCGCAACCGTCTTCGTCGTAGCCGCCGCCGCCACCGAGGTCGCCGTCGCCTCCGCCTCCCGCGCGACGTAAGCGCCTGTGCTCACTCCCCTTCCTGACCGAGCGCGAGAAGGGCGAGCGGGCGCGCGCGCGCACGCCAAACCCTTTCCTCTCGCGCGCGGGCGGAGGGAGGACGTTGAAGAGTCGTGGGCCTAGGAAAAAAGCGATTGGTGCTGGGGCGGGCAAAGGGCAAGTGCGCGCACGCGCACGGATGGGAGTGCGCACGCAGACTGCGCGGAGGGCGCCGGACTCTGGCTGCGGCTGTAGTTTGCTGATCCTCGCTTGGGTACCCGCCCTTAGAGGCCCGGCGTTGAATTCCGGGAAGTGGGAGCTGCAGGCTCGCTCCGTGCGGGTATGGGCGCTAATGTGACTCGGGATGGTTGCGCAAGGACGTCGCCGCGGAGAATGACAAGGAACCGGGGAGGAACGGGGGTGGGGAGAGACAGCAATGGGACTTGGGAAGCCGCTGAAGGGCAGCACTGAATAAGCCTAAAGGGCCCGGTCGCGCGAAGGGTCGGTGGCGCAGGCCTCGGCTGCGTCGGATCGCCAGGCCGCAGGGCCTGGGCGGGGGCTGCTGCGTCACACAGGGCAACCTGGGAACGCCAATTGTTGGCAACCGTGGTGGCCTCTCGCCACCTCTTAGGTCTGAGCGATCTGCGACTGATGCTCCCTCGAAGCTGATGTCTCGCACGGGCGGGGCGCCTGAGGAGGAGAGAAAATAGAGACCCGGTTGTTGACAGCCGGCTAGGCTGCTTCATTCATGTGTGGGTAGCCTAGTTTAGAAATGTACTACCCTTTCTTTCTAGGTTCCTCCCCAGAGGGCGGGGTGAAGGGTGCTGCGCTGAATCGCAACAAAAAACGCTTCTCGAGGGATGTTAGTAACTGTCTCAGCTTAATTTCGTGCCTTTTAGTTGACAGTTTCTATCGTAACTGTAACTGTGGGCCTTAGTTAAATACCTTCAATGTGTTGGATGGTAGTGTACTCACTTTACCCGGTTTTTTGAAAACATTGTTTTTTAAATCAAAATTGTTTCACTTCGTTTTTTTCAGTCTGCAGATCGACTTGACTCGCTCGAGGTTAATGATTTTTGTTTTTTTCTATTTATAGAGGCAGGGTTTTGCCGTGTTACTAGGTTGGTCTCAAACTCCTGAGCTCAAGCGATCCACCTGCCTCTGTCTGCCAAAGTGCTGGAATTACAGGTGTGAGCCACAGCACACAGCGGAGGTTAATAATTTTTAAAAGCTTCTAATCCCATTGTTAAGTTAATGGATTTGGTGTAAAGGCCCACTTTCTAACTCACATGAGTTTGATTGCAGTAAGTGCATTCCCCAAATAATTATTTTTCCTTTGTGGGAAATATTCCAGAATTTTAGACTACCAGCTTGTTTAAACAGTTTGGTTTAAAGCCTTCAAAGAAATGTCAAAACATAACTCCACATACGTATTTACTACATATTGAAGGCTATATTTACCTGGAGGAGTAGGTGAAAGCAAACAGATGCCCATGGCCTTTTTGAAAACATCTATGAGCAATAATTGAATAGCAAAACTACATGGAACGCTGCCATTCTTTGCAATATTAAATAGCTTTAATTCTGAGTTGTGAGGAATAATAAGATCATACAAATCTTCATTTCTGAAGTCCCTAAAGTTATGAACTGAGTGCTAATTTTTCATATTAAGCTTTATGTAAATATCCTTAATGATAGGAACTTTCTATGCCTCTAATTTATCCAGAGAAACTAACCATTAACATATAACGACTGTTGTAATCAGAAGTATAGTTAAGTTAATAAAGTCCTCAGTTACAATTCTGACATTTTATCATTGTCTTATGAAAAGAATTACCGTATATACAATCTGTTTTACATTTTCTGAAAGCATGAGACCGGTTTTTTGTTTTTTTACTACTAATTGTGCCATCAAACATGCTATTCGAAAAAATATCTTGCCCAATTTGTAATAAAATGTTGAACCTTGGAGATTTAGATTTGGAGTAAAATAGTATTTTATTGCTTCACAGAAGTACACACTAGGTGGAAAATTGCAACAGTCTTGGCAGTTGATTTTTTTAAAAAGCATGTAGATAATCCAAAGGTACTTTGATGATTTTGTTATCAACGTAGTTACATTTGCAGTTTCACTATTTGAATAAATGGGCTTTATCTCTACTTACTGATACTAAAACAATAGCCAAACATTTGATAATCTCAATACAGGACTAATGAAAAATTCCACATAATTAACATCAACAGGAGGCTTTTGTAATTATTTAAGTTCTCGTTTCTAAAATTTTTTATTCTTTGGAAAGAATATTACATTTACAGAACCTAAGATAGCATTTTGTGGTTCTTTAATTCTGATACACTTTACTAGGCCAAGTACTAAATAGGTATCCTTAGGTGGGGATAGACTGGGAACCATATATCCAGAATTGTGAAATAATATAACATACACAGGATAACTTGCTCCTCTGTTAGTATTTTAGATGCCAGGGTTACAATTTTAATTCCATAATTGTGTTTTTGTTGCCTGGAGGATTTGCATATGAGAAGCCACAAAAACAATCAGGACAGTATTAAAATACCCTAGAATCTCAACCCATGACAGTATCACCCATGTCCTTGCCAAACCAGAGGAAGTCTTTCCAATATGATTCTTAAATTTACAAATTCCTCTGAATACAACCCATGAAATCCTAAGTCATCTTCTAGTGAAGATTTAATGTATATTTTCTGTTTTCCTAATAAGAAATTAGAGGAGCTTTGGTTCCCAGTGTTGAACAAGAGATAGGACTCAGTCACCTGAAAAGTTCTGTTGTAACTACATGTGCCTGACTCTCCTATTCTTCCCCTCTTCTGTTATGCAGAATTTCTAGGTTCTAGGTAGTATTTGGGAAGTTTCCCAGATTATTCCAATATCCACCAGCTGCTCATCTACCTTGTAACTCATCCACCTTGTTTATGGCCACTGGATTTGGGGATTTTGACTGATAAATTCTTGAATCACTAAAAGCTAAATTTCAAACAAAATTCTTAGAGATGATACTATGAAGCAAGTATGTATAAAATCTAATAGGCATTGAAGATGGTACAAAGATTCCATCCTCTACTGAAAAAATGAGGTGTGCACACAGAGTAAGAAAAAAGTTTAAGTAGCCAACCTCAAAAATACTGAATTGGTGCATTGATGCTCTCACTCCTTTTCTTGCCCAGATTGTTTAATTAATTAATTTGTTTATTTATTTAATTAATAACCTTTGCCTCCCGGGTTCAAGTGATTCTCATTCATCAGCCTTCCAAGTAGCTGGGACTACAGGTGCAAGTCACCACACCTGGCTAATTTTTTGTATTTTTAGTAGAGATGGAATTTCACCACTTTGGCCAGGCTGATGTCGAGCTCCTGACCTTTCCTGATCTGCCCGCCTTAGCCTCCCAAAGTGCTGGGATTACTGGAGTAAGCCACCTTGCTCACCCTCACTCAGATTCTCTTTTTTTTTTTTTTTTTTTTTTTTTTGAGACGGAGTTTCGCTCTTGTTACCCAGGCTGAGTGCGATGGCGCGATCACGGCTCACCGCAACCTGCGCCTCCTGGGTTCAGGCAATTCTCCTGCCTCAGCCTCCTGAGTAGCTGGGATTACAGGCACGCGCCACCATGCCCAGCTAATTTTTTGTATTTTTAGTAGAGACGGGGTTTCATCACGTTGACCAGGATGGTCTCGATCTCTTGACCTCGTGATCCACCTGCCTCAGCCTCCCAAAGTGCTGGGATTACAGGCTTGAGCCACTGTGCCCGGCCAGATTCTTATTCACTACTGTCCAAATACTGTTGGTCCTCTGTAACTTTCAGTACAGAGATTCAACTGTAAGGGACTTGAACATCTTCAGGTTTGGTAAATGGGCGTCCTGAAACTAATTCCCTGAAAATACTGAGGTAAAAACTGTAACATCCATTTTTTGCAGAAATTTTGTATTCGTCCTTTCTTTTTCAATCCCACGACCAGCTTAGTTTAGGCCTCTGTTTTCTCTACATCTTTCCCTTCAGCTTACCCTTTAGGTTTCCTTCAAACTTGAAATCTAATTAAATCACTCCCCTGCTTATATACCACATATATTTATAAACTAAACTTGCATGGATATAACCACATATGTACACATCACATACTCCTAATATTTTAGTTACTTAGTGTTTTCACAGACTGATCTCAGTATTGCCTCCCATCATTCCTAACAGACACTTGACACTCTAGACACTTCTTCAGGTCACTGGAAAGGTATCTCATTGTAAATGGATATAGCCCATTTATCTTATGGGTCAATCTTTTGTAGGTTCATTTAAGTAAATGCTCAAGAACTGTTGAGTATCCTGACACAATTGTGCTGATAACTTATGAGACTTGTCAGACAACTCTCTGACCTCCCTTTTAGGACATGGAATTGAGTATTCTAAGTGCAGCATATCATTGTATCACAATATAGCATTTATTGCCATGCTACATTATGAGATCATTAAGCAAAGAGACTGTGTGCATTGTATTGACATTCATTCAATAAAAATGTAAGATTGTATTACCAGACATTCTGCTAGGGGTAGGGAGGGATCATAACACAGCAAAAACTAACACTTGCAAAGTTAAAGTCTAGTTCAGGAAACAGTTACACTATAAAATCACAACTTAGAAAAATAGTATGACGAGACATACAGTGCTGTGAGAATCCATAATAAAGAACCCTAGTCAGGAGAATCTCAAGGAAGTGATGTGATCAACATGATCTAAAGCTGAAGAATTAATATGAATTAGGTAAGCAAAAAAGGGAAATAAGAGTTGCTTTCTGGGTAAAAGAAACAACATGGGCAAAAATTCCAGGGTCAAAGAGATCATGTCAATGCACTTGCCAGTTTGCCAAGCACAGGCCATATTCACTTTCAGAAGTGTTCAGGTTTGGATAGTAAATTGCATGGCCACCCTATCAATAAGGGATTCTAAGAAGCATGATACTGCTGAAGCAAATAGCAGCTGAACAAGATGTGGCTACATAGGCCATTTAGGGCCCAAACGCTAAGTAAAGTATGTTTTTCAAGACAACAAGGAAACTACTGAAGGACTTGTAACTGCATGGTAGCTTGACGGGATTGGCAAATTGAAAGTTTTACTTTAGGCACAAATCCCAAAAAAAGGATTAGATGTGGGTTGAAGTAGCTACAGTATTCCTAATTTAGTCAGGAGTCTTTGGCAGATAAGAGGTTAGAAATGACATGATAGATTAGGGTAGTGTAATGGAACTGGAGAGAATTAGAATTGGGAAGGATGACAAAACTTGATGGGATTGGATTCAGGCAGGGTTAGGAGGAGGGATGTTGGACATTTGTAACTGAATGACATTCACTTATAAAGTAATGTATTTGGAGATGTATAGGTGGGGAGATCATTATGTTTGGTTGAAGACTTAAGAATTTCTGATGCCTTTGAATTGCCCAAGAGGTTTCTGGATAGAACATGGAGCTATGTGAGGTCTAGACTGAAAATTAAAACTGTTAAGTATGTAGGGAAAGATTAAAGTCTTGAGTATTCATGAAGTAGACTGAGAAGACAGCCTAAGTGTGTACAGTGAAGAATTCCAGTTTATATTTGACTAGGTTGAAGATGAACTGAACAAGGAGGAGTTACAGATACCAGAAGGGTGTTGTGCTATTGAAGATGAGTAAGTGCTTCATGGAAAGTGTGAGTGTTGAATAGTGTCCAGTTGCTATGTAAGAATTAGGTAGAAGGATTAACACATATTAATCATCTAAAAAACAAATACATTAATATCTTAAAAGTCTGATTTGGGAGAATTTGTTTTTCATTGCTTTTTTTCAAACAGGAACTGAACAGTACCACCATTTACAGTTGTGGTCACTTAACTGGTGTGATTTGAGACTGAGAACCTCCTATTCCACAAATCTGTACTTTATCCTCTACTAATGCTTGAAAAATCATTGATGGAAATCTATTTTAAAGCATATATTCCTGGGAAGAGTAATACGTTTAGAAGATACATAATTCTCAGCCATGCCAACATTTAGAATTACCTCAGGATTTGTACACTAAAAATGCTCAGTCCCCATCAAGAGATTCTATTCCATGGTTCTGAGGTAGGGCCTTGACAAAGGCATTTTTTAAAAGCTCCCCTAGGTGATTCTAATATGCCATTATTGAAAAGTCATTGACAGTATCCTATTAACAGTATTGATTCATGTAACATTTTATTTAGATGAAATGTGGAGAGGACAGGACACTTATTATAAAACAGTGGTTCGTAATGGCCATTGAGCAGGGTGGATTTCGCCCTAAAGAGAACATTTGCCAAACTCTGGAAACATTTTTGTGGTTGTCCCAGTGGGTGGTTTTTGTGGCGTTGCTGCTATTCATATGTGGTAGTTAGAGGCCAGGGATACAACTAAAAATCCTACTTTGTACTGCACATTCCCCGGTCCCCCAAAACAAAGAATGACCTGGCTCAAAATGACAAGAGTGCCCTTGTTGGAAAAAACTTGCTGTAAGCGATGGCAAGCTAGTTAGTATTTTCCAGTGAAATCTGACATGGATTGGAGTTGTGATTTGATAAGAGTGCTAAAGAATGAGGATCTACTCTCTACCTAACAGCTTACCCTTTCTAATAATGAGTAGCAAAGGAGCCTTAAATAAAATATATTTTACAGAACAAAGAAATGTGACTAGCATAATAGACTGATTGCAATGTTATTTTTCTTGTTAAAAACAATTTATAGGCCGGGCACGGTGGCTCATGCCTGTAATCCCAGCACTTTGGGAGGCC